GCAGGCGCGGGGGTAGGATCTGGCCCCGCTGCCATTCACCCGCGGTCCCGTGGCGCAGGGGTGTTCGGCCTGCGACTCCGCTCTCCTCGTGGAAGTTCGGGCCGTTCGGCGTGCGGGCTGCTGACGGCCCGTCAAGGTACCCAAACAGAACCTATTACAGTAATGGGGACAGGGACATACTGATAAACAGGCATGAATGTAGCCCAATATCCCACGGACGTTTGGGGAAATAATATTAATTATTAAACAACAGCTTACATTGTGTACACTGTGGATAGTGACTGAGACAGGATTACATTGTGCCCGCTCTGCGCCCATCCAGCCTGTCTTTCATATTGCTTACTTGCAAAAGTTTGCATACTAACCTAGGCAGTAGCCATCCCTGCCTCAAGAGGCAGGCCTTTTACAGTTTGCAGGAGCATCTAGAGCATTCCCACTACCTTGTGGAGTGGCTATTCCCCCGGTGAAAATACTACAAAATCCTCAGGCATAGCATGACCCAGGAGACTGAGTACTTCCCCTGGTTAGTGGGTCCAGTGGAGAGATAATACTGCACTGTGCCCCCCCCCCTCCATGCCAACATCATCTATGTTCCCATGTACACTCAATTTCTTTGTGTAGTCAGTGTCTATAGATTCCCCTCCTCCCACCTCATGATTGTTCCCAAATGCATTACCATATCTGGCTTTTTGCTACAATCGAGGAACCCATTAATACCTGTGATTATAATAATAAATTTAAGCTGCAGTCCATTTATCACCAAATGATTATAAGTCCCATATGCAGTCCCAGTCCAATTATGTACTACTGCAGCAACATGTTCAGTATCTTCTGACTATAATGTCCATTTCATGATATTTCGGACTGAGATGTTGAATTAAAAGGTAGGTTACCGACTCTGCTAGGGATGTGGATGCCCTCATTTTGCACTCCCAAATTGATGCTGGGAAGCTTTGGTCAGGGTGGACCCAAATACATCCTATAACTCCAGAGTTGACATTAGAGATACTGTTGGTGGTCCAAGATACACGGTCAGTAGATGGTTGATAATGCAGGAGAGTGGTTCTTGCCCCATACATCATTTAAGCCAGGGAGGACAGGTCAAGTTTGCAGAGAAGCAATTGTTTTTACATTTGTTCTTGTTTAAATAGCAATATGTTGACCTTCAAATGCTTCCACCATCTATGGGCAAAGGATTAACAGCATCTGCAGAGAGAATACAAAGCTATTCTCGGGGTTTTAAATATACCCTGGCACAAAAAATAAGTTGTTACAAGGGATTAAGACCCCGTCGGTATGCTCCCACCCGTGACAATGATGACCCCCTGCCTTCAGACATTAGCCTCGAAATTCAGGTACATTTACCAGCCCATCCTGGGATTACAGCAGGGTGGGCATGTGCTGTTTCCCATTTTGATATTGCCTCTGCATGCGCTTCAGAAAGGGGACCCCTCCCTGTGGTTTATCTGGTATTTATGTTCCATAACACTTTGCTTAGCTGCCTCGTCTTTAAAATATTACTTTGGTAGCTTAAACTATTACCATACTAAGCTGTTACCATTCACAGGAATTTAAGTGTTCTGTGCTTGCACCTTTTTACTGGCTACGTGGTTTCTTTTAGTACCTACCCACTCCAATTTCTGCTTTACTTACATGCTACATCTACACTGCAGACTTTTGTTGTGCAAAAACTTGCAGAGCATCTACACTGCACACGTGTTCTTGCGCAAGTAAATTTACAGTACAGTGTTGGAAAATAAGGCTTCTTCCGGAAGAGTTATTCCTTTCCCCACGAGGAATAAGCCCTCTTGCTCAAGAGCTCTTCCACAAGAAGGCAGTGTAGACAGGCAACATGAATTTCTTGCACAAGAAAGCCCTATGGCTAAAATGACCATCAGAGCTTTCTTGCGCAAGAGAGCATCCACACTGCCATGGACTCAAGCACATCTCTTGCACAAAAGCAAATGTCAGTGTAGACGCGCTCTTGTGGAAGACCTTTTGCACAAGAACTCTTGTGCAGAACAGTTCTTGCGCAAGAAACCTGCAGCGTAGATGTAGCCACATAGTTTCAGAATTAACTTTTGCAGCTTGCCAAGCCCAGCAAGTTTGCCACAACAACCCTACCACTGCTGGATCCTTGCTCTTTAGGTGGTGTCAGGAGGAGGAGAGGAAGAAATCTAATTAGAGAGTCATTGATTTTCTGCTTACTACAGTATCCCCTTTTTTCCCAAGACAATACACAATAATGATACCATTGAGACAAATGACACAAAACAACAAACATATAACGCAACACAGGAGATACAACACGTAAGACACAAAACATGAAACAATTTTTGTCGCGACAATAAATCCATATTATTTTCATTGTTTTTCATCTGGTACCAGCTCTTTCTGATGTTCTGAAAGACAAAAGAAAACATGTTTACCCCTGTGGGGGTGGCACCTTATATCTTAAAATATTCCTTTCTTTTACAGATAGTCTTGCTGATTTCCTTATTTGCCTTAAGTTATTTCCCTATAATTTTGTTTTATAAGCAGACCAAGTTTTAATAACTTTGCCTTTATGGGTTGAGGGTGAATTATCTCACTGTGTAATCATTAAGTTAATAAGATAGTTGTCAGAATCAGGAGTGCTGACCAGCACCCAGTAACTAAGGGGTTAATTAATGCCTTCCTAGCCAAGGTATTGAGTGGTCAGCCAATAACAATGCAGGTAGGAATTTCAAACTGGAAGAGAGGGGTTTTTCTCTAACCTTTGAGAGTTAGAGCAGTTTCCTCCAGCTAATTGAGAGAGATGGGAGACACTTCTCTCTCCAAGAGTGGACTTATTAAAATGTGTAAGTAGGGAAAAGTTTAGATAGTTTATTGTTTTCCTTGTTTGGGGATTTGGAAATAATGTCTGACCCCCCCCCCCCCCCCTCCTTTGTAACTAAGCCTTCAGCCCAGGGACTTTCCCTGAGTATCAATATCAATGGCGGCTCTTTCCATCTAGCCAATTTACTATGCTTACCACTGCAGTTTTGTTTTGATAATAAAAGATTGGTTTTGGGTTTTTTTAGTACTGGTATTGGTTGATTTTTGTGTCCTGGAGGGTCTGTCTGTGTGTATTGTAGAAGCAAACATTGTCCTCACTCTGCATTTGTAAGCAACAAGTAGCCAGAGGCAGTTTTATTACGAGCTGCAGCAAGGGAAAAACTGGTTCGGACAGGGAGGGAGCCCCCCCCTTCCGAGGCAGATCTTCGAATACCAGCAATTATGAAGAAATTTATATACTGTCTATTAGATATAACAACAATAACAATTAGTCTCCTTCCCATTACAAACACCAATGGCTAACAGTTATTTAGTTCCACCCAGATGCTCCTTATCTCAAGGTCCCTGCCAGAGTCAGCATTCTATCCTTATCTCCATATGGAGGCAAGAGGCGAAGGCAGCATCTAATTACAGATCTCGTGTTGTCAGGCCACAGACTTAGCCTGACTCTTGCTCTCTTGTTAACAAGACCAAGATGGCTGCACACAAATTCCCTTATTCCCTTTTCCTGCCTCCAC